AGGTCATGCACATGCCCTTGCCACCCTCCCTATTGCGCTCACTTGTCTCTCTTTCCCCTAATTTATGTTTCCTCCCTGGCCCCTGGAGACATCTGAATCTTCACCCATTTTAGTTGTGCACAAACAGATACGTAAAGAACTGGAAAAGACTCAGAACTGGCAAAGGCTCAGGAAGTCCAACTCAGAAAGCACAATCAGGAGAAAAAAAATAGAACTGAAGGCCTATGTACGAGCTCCATAACTACTCTCTATCCATTTCTCCATCTACCGGTCATCCATCACCTATCCACCTGTTTGTCCATCCACCCACTCATTCATCCACCTGTCCATCCATCCATCCATCCATCTACCCACCACCCACCCACCCATCCATTTATTCATCCACTCACGCATCCACCCAACCATCTATCCATCTGTCCATCCATCTATCCATCCACCCATCCATTCATCTATCCACCCATCCATCCACCCACCCACTCATCCAAACATCCACCCACCCACTCATCCAAACATCCACCCATCCATTCATCCATTCATCCATCCACCCATACATCCATTCATCCATCCACTCATCCATCCACCTATGCATGAGCTCCATAACTACTCTCTATCCATTTCTCCATCTACCGGTCATCCATCACTCTATCCACCTGTTTGTCCATCCACCCACTCATTCATCCACCTGTCCACTCCATCCATCCAATCCACTCTACCCACCACCCACCCACCCATCCATTTATTCATCCACTCACGATCCACCCAACTGACATCTATCCATCTATCCATCCATCTATCCATCCACCCATCCATCCATCTATCCACCCATCCATCCACCCACCCACTCATCCAAACATCCACCCACCCACTCATCCCAAACATCCACCATCCATTCATCCATTCATCCATCCACCCATACATCCATTCATCCATCCACTCATCCATCCACCCACCCACTCATCCAAACATTCATCTATCCATTCATCCATCTATCCATCCCACCTATCCATCCTCCATTAATCTATTAATCTATCCATCCATTCATCCACCATCTACCCATTAATTCCATTTCATCCATCTACCAATCCATTCACTCCATCCACCACCCATTCATGCAAGAACCACCATCCATCCATCCATCCACCCACCCATCCAACCATCCATTCATCCATCCATCTACCCATCCATCCATCCATCCATCCATCCATCCATCCATCCATCTGTCCATTCTTCAGTTACTGAGTCACTGCTATGTCCCAGCAGCATTCCAAACCCTGGTGATGCATCAGAAACAAAAGAGACAAACATCCACCCTCCTAGAGATATTCTTCTCATAGGAAGGCAGCCCCTGTGGAATTATGAAAATGACAGGTCAGACAGACCTAGAAGGCAGGTTCCAGCTCAGCAATGCATTAGCTCTGTGACCTTGGACTGAAGCTCAACGTCTCTGAACTTGATTTGCTGGTGTGGAAACAACAGGACCCACTTTGTAGGGTTGTGTTAAAATAAAATTCTCTCATCTGACTGTGGAGTGGATGATGCCACCTCAGCATATTAACTCAACTTCCTGCCCTGCCTGCCCAAGGCTGTGTCCCTTCCTCCTCCCACCCAGGTTCAGGATTCCTCCCACCCAGGCTCAGTATTGCAGCTGGAGGAAATGCAGCTGGCTATGTCCCACCTCTGCCATTATACTGGGACTTTATTCTCTTGAGCTGGATTCTGTTTGTGCACATAGAGCTGACCACCAAGTAAGTGAAGGGGCAGCAGGTAACAGATTGCTATTGATTCCAAGAGGACCCGTGTCTAAAGTTCTCAAGAGGCCAGGCTGGATGTGGCATGGGCCCTCCTCCCCCTCCTCAGGACATAATCCCACCCCAGGTCACTGGAGGAGGCAGCCCCAGGGGATTTTGGGGGCTGTGGGTGCCACACTGAGAGGCTGGGGCTCCTGACCATGGGTCCTGACATTTCGAACTTCTTTATAATTACACCACTGACCTGCAGGATTTGGTCTGAGGCCTGCAATAGTTGGGGCTGAGGGAAGAACATCACGACACGGACAGCTCCGAGCTGTTTCACAAGGTTGAGTCTCACGGGGGTGTCCAGGTCCCAACAGCAAATGTTCCGTTATAGGATGGAAATGTTCCATAAAAGGCACTCTAGGAGGAGGGGACTTCAAGGTTCCGTCCACTCTATCCAGGTAACATCGGTGGATGGACCGAGTCTGCAAGAGCCCAGAAGATACATCCCATGAGCTCGGCCCAAGGGTCAAGCAGAAGAATGGTGAGATGGGCCCTGAGCATCCAGGGCATGAGCAGGCAGCAAGATCGTTAGTGATTTTATATCCCACATCCCAAAGTTGTCCACCAAAGGAAGCAGCAGCGGCTCTTCATAAAAGCAATTAGCAGGAAGAGGGGAGCAGACCTAGATAGGAGGAACCCCAAGATCCTTGCCAGAGGGTGATGAGGTTGGCCATGGAATGAGAACTAAACTCCAGCATTTCTGCCCTAGTGCTTGTGGGAACCGCCGACCCCATGAGCTCTGATTGACAAGCAGCACGTCCAGGGTCGACCTCACTGGTAAGCACACTGTGCTCAGCTGTGCGGGGGGCATGGTTCATATCCCTTCTGCCTAGGAGGTGCCCATGGAGGACAGGTGTAAGGATTCCAGAGGCCAGCCCGTCTTCCCCTTCCTTGGTGTGTCTACCTCCTGAGGGACAGGTGGGTAAGATGGAAGAGGGGCCAAAAAGGAGACATCTGCTGTTCTCCAGGCATGGATGGGGGTTTGAGCTCGGAGCTGGTGGAGCAGGTGGGAGAGACGGACGCACTCTTGTTCTAACATTCGATCTTGGCACCGTGTCCATCTGGACTTAGTGGCCACCTGAGCCCTCACCTCCACCCTGTCCATCTTGGAGATCAGTCCCCTTCCAAGATCTCTGTGATCCAAAAGTATTCCTCAATCCGCTAGACCGCTCAGATGCATCCCATCCACGTCTACAAGCCTCAGAAAGAAGTCTTCGCACAGGTTAGTGGTTGAGAAACAGATGCAGTGCAGGTCCGCAGACTCTGGCTGTCCTGGATCGAGCACGGCCAGCTCTGCAGTGAGCTCAACTCAGGTTACTCACACCTTGTTACCAAAGCATCATCTCTCCTCATTTCATCCCACACCTCGGTCAGACAGCACGGGTAATCCAGCTTCCATCAGTGTTCTTCTCCCTCTCTGGCATCCTGACCCTCGCCGTGCAGGGACTGTCCACGCACAGGAGCCCACATAGGGTTGAGTTGTGACCAGTTCCCCACCTAGGACAGTCTGGCTGGACCCCTCTCCTCCTGGAGCCACAGCTGCATCCATGCCCCGCTTGCTTCCTGAGGCGCATGCTTTGATTTTATTAGGAAACAAGTATCCCAGGTGCAACCTAGGTGGGAGCCCAGAAGGCAGTCGCTCCAGCCAGTGTCATCCGGGGCCCCCACGGCCCTGGGTCATAGTCTCGCCTCCACCCATTCAGAAGCCTCACTGGCTGCCACCCTCGGGCCTTCTCTAAACTCTTCTCTCCCAGGGCCTCTTGCCCCTAGAACAGGTGGGCTACAAATCATTTAGGCTGGGCATGGTGGCTCATGTCTGTAATCCCAGGACTTTGGGAGGCCAAGGTGGGTGGATCATGAGGTCAGGAGATCGGGACCAGCCTGGCCAACATGGTGAAACCCCATCTCTACTAAAAATACAAAAATTAGCTGGGCATGGTGGCGGGAGCCTGTAATCCCAGCTACTCGGGAGGCTGAGGCAGGAGAATCATTGGAACCGGAGAGGCAGAGGTTGTAGTGAGCCGAGATTGTGCCACTGCACTCCAGCCTGGTGACAGAGCGAGACTCCGTCTCAAAAAAAAAATAAATAAATAATAATAATCATTTGGTCTGAATTCCTCCAGAGCCTTCTGCAGACTACACTCTCACATGCTATTCACACTCCATGTGAGAAGAAAGGAACTGAGCGAGGCGGCTTCAGAAAGACCCTCCCAGCCTTCCTACGTGGACTCCTCCCCACATCAGGACTCCTGGGGGCTGGCTCTGGGCACCAGCCTCGATGAGGACGTTCTTACAGCAGTGAAGGGATGGGCAGTGGCCCTGGCACCAACCTTCCCAATTGGTCCTCATTCCCAAGGCCATTTCTCAGGAGACGCAGCTTTCTACAGCCAGAAAAAAAAATCTTCCTTCTAGTTTATTAAACTGCTTTATAGGCTCTAACCTATGACCAAAGGAGTTTATGATCAATACAGGTAAATTACGAATCTGCCTCTCTCTCTTTTTCTTTCTCCCAATCTTCTTCTTTCTCTTAAATGGCCTTCAAATGGGAAAAATATTGTTTTAATAACACAAAGTCCACAACAGGCCTCCCTAATACATCCCCTTGGAGGGAGGATTAGCAGGTAAATCACACTCTCAACTAGAGGCACAGCCCCCGTGGGGGCAATACCAGCACCTCCCAGGGGGCATCGTCGTCTTACTGCTGCAATGTTTCCACTCCTATCAGAAGGCTGACAGGTTACAGCTGCTGTGAAATGCTGATCCACATCCCTGCCTGGTTCTAGGGCTGTCCAGAGTAAGATACACTTCCCAGAGCTCATGCCCCATTGAAGAGAGTCAGTTCCACCCGGGGTGGGAAGCAGGATTCTAGGAGCTGCCCACTCACGGCCAGAGCTGCCTGGGGAGGTGACAGTCAGCACGTCCTATCCCTGGCTTCCTTTGTTCCAGATCTGCCCCTTCCAGATTCTATGTGAGTTCATAGATGGAAGAGTTGAGCCCAAAGTCCCCAGGCCCTGATCTCAGAAAGATGCTTTTCTTACACCCACTGAACACACAAACACCTTCCCCTCCATTTCCCCTTTCTCTTTAAGGGGGACGTTTTAAATGTAACCCCCAAACCATAAGACCCTGTGGGCCCCAAGATCAGACAAATGTCTCCAGGACCCGGAACGGAGAGGCAGAGGGAAGCCTCCTGGCCTGGCCGGGACTCCGATCCGGACAGGACCCGGAACGGAGAGGCAGAGGGAAGCCTCCTGGCCTGGCCAGGACTCTGGTCCGGACAAGACCCGGAACGGAGAGGCAGAGGGAAGCCTCCTGGCCGGGACTCTGGTCCAGAAAGGCTGGGGTCTCCTCTGGGGAGTCGGCCCCTGAGGGTCATGAGACCTGTGGGCAGTTTCCGGAGTTGGCCTCCAAGGGCTACAGGAGCGCCACCAGCCTGGGGCGAGCTGAGAACACAGAAGACCCTCAACGTCACCTACAGCCATGAAAATGCTAAGTAAACCTTCACAGGACGCTATGTCACAACAAAATTTAAAATCTGATGCGGTGCTGTGATGCAGAGTGACCCTGACCCCTCGCGCTGCTGGTGTGGGTGTGGCCACTCTGGAGAGCGACATGGCAGACACCGGCCATCCTGATGCATGGTCCTGTCTCCGGCCATGTGCCCAGGCGGGCACCCTAGAAACTCACATGTGTACACTGAGACACACTGGCGGGATTACGGCAGCTTTATTTATAGTAGCAAAAATAAAAATGAAGTGTTTGAAACTAGCCAAATACCTACCAGGAAGAAAACTACTAAATTAATGTAGAAAATACATGTAATTAAACACTGTCCCTTTGAGGGAAATTTGCTTTTGAGACTTACCCATGTGAGTGTATGAAGCTGTACTTTATTCATTTTAGCTGTTGTTATTGAGAGTTAAAACCAAAAAAGCAATTCTCTGCATGGTTTATAGACACACTCATGTACGGCAGAAGCGTAAGAATTTGCAAAGGAAAGACACACACCAAATTCAAGGTAGGAGTTACATCTGGTTGAAAAAACGGAAGCAGAAGCGGAGAAGGGCTTCAACTCTGCCTGAATACTGCATCTCCTCAGAACACACCTCTGACACTGTCACGCTGTCACTGCTGACGGCTTCATCAGGGTACGCAAGTGTCTAAACACATCGAACTGCAGACGTTAAAAATGGGCAGGTTTGTGTCTATCAACCATACCTCAAGAATGCTGTTAAAACTGTATCTGAAGGAAATGTGGCCAGATGTAAACGTGTGCTGGGGAAGGTAGTTGGTACGAGGCATCTGTTAGGATTCTCCCTGCTCCCTCCCAGAGGCCCCGCCCTGAAAGAGCTCTGGAGACCACAGCATCTCATCAGTCACGCCCATAAAGCAGGGAAGGGGGGCTGCATGGCGGACGGCCGCTGTCTGGCTGCTCAGCATCTCTGCACCCGGAGAGTCCTCTCCCACGCCCCCCCCCCCGGCTCCCCACCGAGCAGATTCCCCATCGCCGGGTCTGAGCCAGTCGAGCCGCTCCCGTCCGGCCCCTGTGATGGTCGGGCAGTGGCATCGTCAGGGTAGGTGAGACGCAGTGAGGCTCAGGCTGAGGAAGCATGACAGGATCTTGTACCTCCTGCTCGGGACAAGGAAAGGGTGGCCGGGGTCCACGAGGGCCACCTTGTTCAGACAGTGGGCGCAGTGCAGTGGATCCGAGCCGAGAGGGGCTTCCAGACGCGCCACGTCAGCCCTGACCAACCCATGCCTGCTGGGTTAGAGAACCCGTGAATCGCCTTTGTGTATCATGAAGCTTGGGTCAGATTTGCTGTCACTTGCCATCAATACTGTCCTGACTGATGCACACAGAAAGAGGAGAAAGCAGGGAGGAAATGGACTGGACGCCAACACCCTCACCAGGATCCCAAGGAAGAGAAGCCCGTGCCAGCCCTGGCAGAGGCAGGCGCCTGGTTGCCGACCTCCAGGAGAGCCCTGGAAGCTGCATTTAACTCCTCCGCGAAGGTGAAGCGAGAGCCCTCAGGGAGAACAGAGCTCTTGCCCCAGCTGGCAGCTGTGCCAGTTACAGAAGAAGAGCTCGCTTTGGGGACCAAGTTCAGGAACAGATGAGAAGACACGAGAAGGAACGGCAATGTGGCCACAAGGTCAGGGTGAAATGGCAGGAAGCCCGCAGGTCCCCACCCACACCAGCCTCAGGACAGGGCCCTGAACTGGGTGGGACTCGGTACAGGGGGTCTCAGAGCACCTCCCTGCCGCTGCAGCCCTGCTCCACCCCTCAGACATCGCAGCCCATCTGGATCCTGAACAAGCAGCTGTAAAGGAGGCTGATGCTGTCAGAGGCGGAAAGTAAGCCCGTCTGGGGGGCAGCTCACAGGGCCCAGTGTTCCTGGCCAGAGCTCTTTCCGATGTGCGGTGCACCAGCAAACCCCGCTCAGCTCTGCTCCTGTGAGCCCCTTCTCTCCGGGTCATTTGTCTCTCCTGGTCTGACAAAGGAGGGTCCTGTGCAGAGCCCGGGAGCTGGAAGTGTTCAGATCAGAGCTCGCCCTGTACGGTTATGAAAGACGTGATTTCTGAAGCACCAGGAGGAGGAGATCTCAACATAAACCATTTCATCTGAAAAGTGAGAGGAATATAAGAGCTTAGAAGGATCCTGTCTTAAAACAAGTTTGAGTTCTTGTAAATCCGAGCCTCAATTGTCCCCAAAAAGAAAATGTCCATTCCTCCTCCAAACAGTCACCTATTAGCTGAAAAATATTAAGAGAACTCCAGGAAATCCAAAACCCACAGCTGTTACCAACACTGCCTGACTTGTTTACACAGATGATTTTCAATGGAAGTGGTCTGTTTAAACATAACTGCCCAAATTATATTCCAAATTGAATAATGTAAGAAAAAAACGAAGTCTACAGTGTCTGGAGCTGACAGCAAACAAGGGGGAGTGGGTGGATCCGGACACTGTCCGGAAGGCCCAGCGCAGCCTGGCCCTACTGGGACACGGACCTGAGGGACCTGAGCACACCCAGGCTGTTCCTATTTAGAGTTGGGGACTTTGGTCATGTAGTGGGTCACCAAAGGCCACAGGCGTGGGGAGCCCTGTCCAGCAGGAACAGGCAGTGGTTCCTGCACAAACTCAGAGCATCGGCAGCCAACGGGTGATGTGAACACTTGGACAAGTGGGGCACCCCACTTTTCAGAGGGACAGGACAGACCTCGGGGCAGAGAAGCACCTCCCTGGGTCACACCTGGGGCAGCAGTAGCCTCAAGTGACCAGACTCGAGTCCCACTTCTCCAGGCTCTCGGCTCTGGGCAGAGCCCCGCGCTCACACCTCCCATGCTGTCCCCAACCTGGAGCAGGCATTGTCCACACTGACCCCAACACCCACAGGGTTTCAGCCTACGCTGGTGGGGCACAGTGACTGTGGTGTTCACAGACATAATCCAAGCAGAGCGGCTCAGTGCCCATAGATACCGGGGGATAAATGAATGGTCAGACAGATGGCAGGGCAGGAATACCAGCTCTGAGATGCAGGAGAATAGAGTAAACCCCAGCAATAAAAAGTGTGGGTTATAAAAGACCCAAGGTTGGGAGGCAATGAGGATCCTAACACGCGGCTTCCACCTGCCACCTGCCACCTGCCACCTGCCCTGGGCTCAGCACACACAGGCCCCCTGCTACTGTGAAGACGCTGGTCTAAGTGGACGGGGAAGTCCAGGGCTTCCACGCTGCTGCTTCATCTGAACCCCGCCACAGAGGCCTCATGACCGTCCTCATGTCTCAACAGTTGGAGCAAAATGCACAGAGGAAAGGGGTCAAACCCCAAAACAATGCACAGAGTTTTCTCGCCCCCTCCTCACTGTCAACTCCTCACCAGCCCAGCCCTCCCATGCTGGCTCCTCACCTTCGGTGCCGTCCCCATGGGGGTGAGGTCTCCTACGGATCTGGAAAGAGACATGGACATTTGCTGTTGGTGGGCTGTAGAATGTGGGCGCTATCGAATTTGGTGCCTTGTTTGTAATTTCCAGTTTCTTATCCTCATAGTTTTATTTTGAGGGATGGCAGAACAATGCCGTGTCACTTTAGAGGGGCTCCTGGGCTCTGCACCAAGACCCACTGCAATGAGAAAGGCCCGGTGCGGTGAGTAAGACCCAGTCCAGTGAGTACAGACCTGCTGCCGTTAATGAGTGAGACCCACTGCAGTGAGTGAGACCCGGGGCAGCAACACCCAGTGCAGTGCAGTAAGACCCAGATCAGCGAGCAAGACGCAGTTTCCTGTGTGAGGCTACTGCCCCAAACCTCTCCAGGAGCCAACCTCAAGGGGCCAGAAAGGGCCTGGCTCATACTGCACCACGTCAAATGACATGGATTTAAATCACCAACATGTTTTTACTAATAAGAAAAAATAAAGAGGTGGAGGACCTTCTTAGCGATAAGATATAATTCGCAGTGGCTGTAGCATGCATGAATCTCTCAGCAATAACCCTGCATTTCATAATTGTACAGAAATAACTGTGAGGATCAAAACCATATCTACAATATAATTACTTTTCTACAAAATGTCCGTACGCTTGTAACTAAGCGGTCCAGCGTCTAGAAAGCTGTGTGCTTCTCCTTGCTTCTCTTGTGAATGACACTGATCTTGTACAACTGCTCTCAGTGGACAGTCACTGTCGGGGGCCTCTGCAGTGAATCCACCTTCCGGTGTCTTAAAACAAGGAACTCCGCCAGCTGATTGAGAGTGCCTGTGTTCAGGAGGGCGGGGACTGAGGACGGGGAGCAGGTGGGGTCCAGGGACATGTTGGAGGTAATGTGACCAGGCTGGTGAGGCATGGACCTTGAAGGCAGTAAAGGAAAGGGGCCTGAAGGACAGAGCCTCTGGATCCACGCAAGTTGGGGGACTGTGGGCCCCTCGCTAGGGAGGACACAGGAAGGTCTAGATGGAGACCCGCTGTTTATTCCTCGCCTTGCTGAATTTGCGCTACCCGTGAACCATCCACAGAGGCTTCGAGGAGCCACTGGATTCAGTCTAGAGCTAAATTAGAGGGGAATATTCTAGAGATATCATCTGGGGTTCACCAGCATATGGACAGCACTGAAAGCCCAGGGAATGGGTGAGGTAAGTTAGGAAAATAAATACGGTGACACGAAAAGGTGGCCCAGGACAAGACTTTGGGAGCACCCAACACCCAGGCAGAGGACATGTCATCTGGAAAGAAAACCGAGACAGAAGAGCCTGAGACATAGAAAACAGCCAGGGAGTGGGCAGACACCGAAACCAAGAGAAGAGGGTGCTGAAAGAGGAGGGGTCACCACTAGCATCTGACGCTGTCAGAGGCCGTGGCACACGCCGGAGGCGGCCCTGGAGATGAGCGCGTCAGTGGCGGCTGAGCAAGAAGAGCGCGTGGGCCGAGGGTGTGGGAGGGGCCGCACGGTGGGCTGAGGGCGTGGGAGGGGCCGCACGTGCAGTGGGCTGGGGAGGCGTGGGAGGAGCCGCACACGGTGGGCTGAGGCTGAGGCGTGGGAGGAGCCGCCGCAGGTGACTGAGGAGCTGAAATGGGAGGGGCCGCGGTGGGCTGAGGGCGTGGGAGGAGCCGCACAGTGGGCTGAGGCGTGGGAGGGCCGCCGCGGTGGGCTGAAAGGCGTGGGAGGGAGGCCGCACCGGTGGGCTGAGGCGTGGGAGGGCCGCACGGTGGGCTGAGGCGTAGGAGGGCGCACGGTGGGCTGAGGCGTGGGAGGGCGCACGGTGGGCTGAGGAGCGTGGGAGGGCCGCACGGTGGGCTGAGGGTGTGGGAGGGGCTGCACGGTGGGCTGAGGGCGTGGGAGGGGCCGCACGAGTGGGCTGAGGAGGCTGAGGGTGTGGGAGGAGCTGCACGCGGTGGGCTGAGGGCTGGCAGTCGGGCTGAGGATTGAGGAGCTCTAGGATAGAGCAGTTGACAATGGGAGGTGAGGAAAACAGAAACAGAGACGACCTCAGCAGGTCAGCTGTGCAAGGAAAGAGGAGACAGTGGCTGGAAGGTGGGAGACTGGGGAATGCTTTCTTACAGGGCTGAGGGCGTGGGAGGGGCCGCACGGTGGGCTGAGGGCTGAGGGTGTGGGAGGGGCTGCACGGTGGGCTGAGGGCTGGTCGGGCTGAGGATTAGGGAGCTCTAGGATAGAGCAGTTGACAATGAGGAGGAGGTGAGAAAACAGAAACAGAGACGACCTCCAACAGGTCAGCTGTGCAAGGAAAGAAGGGGACAGTGGCTGGAAGGTGGGAGACTGGGGAATGCTTTCTTACAGGTCTGCTGCAGTTGCCAGGGGTGGTGGAATGCACTGGAAAGGGAGGGGCAACTGCTGTCAAGGATGAGGATTCGGACTCCAGCAACGAGGGCACCCCAGAAGCCTGCGGGGCCAGGAGAGTGTCCCCTCAGCTGCAGCCTGCTCTTACCGTGCAAACGCAAGCCCGGTGTTGATAAATCCATTGATTTTTCAAGAATAACTAAAACTCCTGCATTTTTGTTTGATTAGGACTAGAAAAGCACGCCTGCTAGAAAGCACCTGCCACGACAGTTCTGACGAAGAGGAAGGGGGTGGACGCGAGATTCTGAGTGGACGGAATGAGGTGATGCCACAAGGCACAAGGTGCAGGCGCAGTCACCAGCAGCTCTCGGCCCTGCTGTCACAGGATCAGGGTGCTGTCGGCTGCCACCACCCCACTCCACATTCCCGCCCCTCTCCTGCAAGTGTCTTCCCAAAGAGAACTGAATATTGTTTCTCTGAATCATTGAAAATAGTTATTAAATGTCTTCATAGGCCAAAGAGCCCTTGTTAACAGTAAGCAGACTCATCACTCACCTGCACTAGCTGGTCCAGGCAGCAGCACTTCTGCCTCTGGGCCTCGGGGAGCCTGCCTGGCAGAAAACCCAGAGGCCTCCGACTCTAACCTGCCCACCAGGACACATCCTCTTCCTGCCACAGGGAATGTCTCCTTCTTGACACTAATGGCCTCCTGGAAAACTGGAGGACAAGATGATCGTAGATCAGAAATGAATCAAGAGCTATCCGATACGCGCTTTAGCGGACGACCTCCTCCCTGAGGGCACAAGGTCAAGCACAGATCAGAAATGAATCAAGAGCTATCAGACACGTGCTTTAGCGGATGGTCTCCCCCGTGAGGGCACAAGGTCAAGCACAAGGCTTGCTTCAACTCTGCAGAGCAAGTCGGGGTCTGTTCACAGACTCAGCCTCGTGTGTTGTACAGACGGTGAAGGGAGCACAGCCCCGCAGTCCGGCGCTGAGGCGTAAATGTGCTCCGCTCCTCCCAGGCAGACGCAAGTGGGTTTGGGTTCGAGCGCCTGGGCTCGCTGATCTGCGCTGAGTCAGACGGTCTGAAGTGAATAAAATGAAGGAAGACACAACTTTGGCTCCTCTGGCCTCTCTCTCCAGCCGTGGCCGCCGGCGTGTGCTGCGTGGTCTCCCTTTCTGTCTGCACGCACTTCTGAGGCCGCTGTGGGCCTGGGTGCATGTGCGGCACTGATGCGTGAATTCTTCTGCTTTGATGAAGACGGGGAGAAAGACACGCTCTCCATGGTTTTTAGAAAAGAAAATAAAAAGCCTCTCGTCCGTTGAGCCTGGCTTCTGGGTTCCAGGGGCATCTGAGATCACCTGCTTTGTCCCTGGCCCTCCTTCAGTTGAAACTCTAAGACACCATGTTATTTGGCTTTCCATGCTTTTTTCCTTCAGTTCCATGAGCTTCCAATAACTGACTCCAATCAGCTGAGCCTGTTTCTGTTGCCTTCAAACAAAGGATGCTGATGGGTCTGGCACTGACCTAAATTTTTTAAACTGAAAAAGTCTCACTACTTCTCTAATGAAGTTCCCTGCTCCTGGAGGGTGAGAATTGAGTAAAGAGGCCAGCAGAGAAGTCCAACAAGCAATCGCTTCTAACCCTAAATGCACTACTGTACCTGCCACTACTGTTTTAAAAAAAAGAAAACAATAATAGAATTATTCTTGTCTAATACGTAAGTACATCACTCAAAAGCAAGGGGAGAACAAGTTCTTCTGAAGTGACACGGCACTGTTCTGCTAGCCCTCAAAATAAAACTCTGAGGATAAGAAACTGAAAATTCCAAATTCGATAGCCCCCACATTCTACAGCCCACCAACAGCAAACGTCCATGTCTCTTTCCAGATCCGTAGACCTCACCCCCATGGGGACAGCACGGAAGGTGAGGAGCCAGCATGCGAGGGCTGGGCTGGTGTGGAGGTGGTCTCTGGAGAGAGTTTCTCGAGAGTTCCACCAACACCGCCAGAGGGAATGGAGGAGATGGAGCAGCATGTGAGCGGTGCCCTGGAAGGTGCATCTCCGGAGATGCGGAAAGAGAGTAGATTCCAGGGAAATTCTAGAGGTAAAATTACAGGATAGTGAGAAGTTACTAAAGGACTTCATCAAAATGAAAACCTTTTGCTCTGCAAACACTCACATGGAGAAAAGGAAAAGGTAAGGCACAGACTGGAATAGCAGTTTTACAAACCACATATGTAACAAAGGACTGGCATCCAGAATATACACTGCAACCTCTCAAATCTCAATTGTTAAAAGTATAAACAATCCAATGAGAAAACAGACACGAGCAGACATCTCACCGAAGACGGCAAGCAGATGTCAGAGAAGCCCACAGAAAGGTATTCAGCATCACCAGCCATCGGGAACATGCACATTAAAACCACCGTGAGGCACGACCCTGCACCAATCAGAAAGGCTAAAATAACAAACAGAAACAATCCCAAATGCTGGTGAGAATATAGAGGAGCTAGACCACGCACACTGTTGATGGGAGGCTGAAATGCTGTAGCCGCCCCGGAAAACAGGCTGCCAGTTTCTTATAAAAGTAAACATAAGACAATCACGTGGTCCAGCAACTGCCCTCTTAGACATCTGTCCCAGAAAAAAAAAAAAAAAAAAAAAACTTCACACACACACACACAAACACTTACACAAAACATGAATGAATGCTGTCAGCAGCTTTAATGGCACTGCACTTTTGCAAAATATTATCTGAGGGGAAACTGGGTGGTATGCGTGGGCTGTCTCTGTACTGTGTCCGTACTGTGCCTGTCTCTACTGTGTCTGTCTCTGCACTGTGTCATTTGTCTGTCTCTGTACTGTGCCTGTCTCTACTGTGTCTGTCTCTGCACTGTGTCATTTGTCTGTCTCTGTACTGTGCCTGTCTCTACTGTGTCTGTCTCTGTACTGTGCCTGTCTCTGCACTGTGCCTGTCTCTGTACTGTGTCTGTCTCTGTACTGTGTCTGTCTCTACTGTGTCTGTCTCTATACTGTGCCTGTCTCTGTATTGTATCTGTCTGTCTCTGTACTGTGCCTGTCTCTGTACTCTTCCTGTCTCTGTACTGTATCTGTCTGTCTCTGTACTATGCCTATCTCTGTACTGTATCTGTCTGTCTCTGTACTATGCCTGTCTCTGTACTGTATCTGTCTCTGTACTATGCCTATCTCTGTACTGTGTCTGTCTCTGTACTGTGCCTGTCTCTGTACTGTATCTGTCTCTGTACTATACCTATCTCTGTACTGTATCTGTCTCTGTACTGTATCTGTCTCTGTACTATACCTATCTCTGTACTATGCCTATCTCTGTACTGTGTGTATCTCTGTACTGTGTCTGTCTCTGCACTGTGCCTGTCTCTGTGCTATGCCTGTCTGCGACACTATACCTATCTCTGTACTGTGTCTCTCCTATACTATATCTATCTATACACAATACCTATCTCTGTACTGTGTCTGTCTCTGTATACTGTGGCACTTGATAATAACTTGTGCTGTATCTGTCTCTGTACTATGCCTGTCTCTGTACTGTGCCTGTCTCTGTGCTGTGCCTGTCTCTGTACTGTATCTGTCTCTGTATATGCCTATCTGTACTGTATCTGTCTGTACTGTGCTCTCTCTGTGCTGTGCCTGTCTCTGTACTGTGCCTGTCTCTGTACTATGCCTGTCTCTGTGCACCATGTGTCTCTGTACTATGCCTGTCTCTGTACTGTGCCCTGTCTCTGTGCTGTGTCTCTGTCTCTGTATTGTATCTGTCTGTCTCTGTACTGTACCCACACTGTCTCTGTACTGTGCCTGTCTCTGTACTGTGTCTGTCTCTGTATTGTATCTGTCTGTCTCTGCACTGTGCCTGTCTCTGTACTGTGTCTGTCTCTGTACTGTGCCTGTCTCTGTACTGCGTCTGTCTGCCTCTGTACTATGCCTATCTCTGTACTGTGTCTGTCTCTGTACTGTGTCTGTCTCTGTACTGTGCCTGTCTCTGTACTGTGTCTGTCTCTGTACTGTGCCTGTCTCTGTACTGTATCTGTCTCTGTACTATGCCTGTCTCTGTACTGTGCCTGTCTCTGTACTGTGCCTGTCTCTGTACTGTATCTGTCTCTGTACTATGCCTATCTCTGTACTGTATCTGTCTCTGTACTGTGCCTCTCTCTGTACTGTGCCTGTCTCTGTACTGTGCCTGTCTCTGTACTATGCCTGTCTCTGTACTGTGTCTGTCTCTGTACTATGCCTGTCTCTGTACTGTGCCTGTCTCTGTACTGTGTCTGTCTCTGTACTATGCCTATCTCTGTACTGTGTCTGTCTCTGTACTGTGCCTGCCCTGTACTGTATCTGTCTCTGTACTATACCTATCTCTGTACTGCATCTGTCTGTCTCTGTACTGTATCTGTTCTGTAAGTACCTATCTCTGTACTATGCCTATCTCTGTACTGTGTCTCTGTACTGTAAATTCGTCTCTGCACTGCCTGTCTCTGTACTATACCTATCTCTGTACTATGCCTATCTCTGTACTGTGTCTGTCTCTGTACTGTAGTCTGTCTCTGCATTGTGCCTGTCTCTGCTGTGTCTGTCTCTGTACTGTGCCTGTCTCTGTACTCGTATCTGTCTCTGCACTATGCCTGCCTCTGTACTGTGCCTGTCTCTGTAATTGTGCTCCTGTTCTGTACTGTATCTGTCTCTGTACTATGCCTATCTCTGTACTGTATCTGTCTCTGTACTGTGCCTCTCTCTGTACTGTGCCTGTCTCTGTACTGTGCCTGTCTCGTACTATGCCTGTCTCTGTACTGTGGCCTGTCTCTGTACTATGCCTGTCTCTGTACTGTGCCTGTCTCTGTACTGTGTCTGTCTCTGTATTGTATCTGTCTGTTCTACTGTGCCTGTCTCTGTACTGTGCCTGTCTCTGTACTGTGTCTGTCTCTGTATTGTATCTGTCTGTCTCTGCACTCGTGCCTGTCTCCTGTACTGTGTCTGTCTCTGTACTGTGCCTGTCTCTGTAATGCGCTCTGTCTGCCTCTGTACTGTGTCTGTCTCTGTACTGTATCTCTCTGTCTCTGCACTGTGTCTGTCTCTGCACTGTGCCTGTCTCTGCACTGTGCCTGTCTCTGTACTGTGTCTGTCTCTGTACTGTGCCTATCTCTGTACTGTGCCTGTCTCTGTACTGTGCCTGTCTCTGTACTGTGTCTGTCTCTGTACTGTGTCTGTCTCTGCACTGTGTCTTACAGCAGCATGTGAATCTCCGACCATTACAGTAATATGTTAGAAACAGGCACTCTTCATTTTGCATGATTCTGATATACACTAGTGTCAGTGCCAGGGTTGAGTTAATTAACACCTGTCCCCCAACCACGTGGCTGAAACTTAATTTACCATGGCACATTAAATGTAATTAAGTGCACAGAATACAGAGTGTGCTGCTGGGTTTAGCCCACACATCGCTACGTAAAGAACTGACGCAATGATGACGGGTGACGAATCCCATCACTTCATCCGATGTCCCTCAGTGGAAGCTCTCTGCACCTGCTACTTGGTTCACACCCACGAGGCCAAGCGTGTACGTCAGCTGCCCTCTTATCTCTTACTGAAACGAAGCAGAAAAAGATCAAAATAAGCCCAAGACAAAAGGAAAGAAGAGCAAAAAACCAATGAAATTGTAAACAGAAAAACAACAGAGAAAATCAATGAAACAGAAAGTTTGTTCTTTCCCCCCAGCTCTATTGAGATACAATTAACAAATAAAAATTGTATGTATTTATGGTTTGTAACATAATGTTTTGACATAACTTGATATGAATGTATTTAATTTGTGAGGAAAAAAAGTTGATTCTTTGAAAAGATCAGTGAATCTGATAAATTCTAGAAAGACTGAAAAAAACAGTGAAGAAACAAATTGCCACTATCAGGACTAAAGCAGGGAATATCACTAAGGACCCTGCAGACATCAAAAGGGTGATCAAAGGATGCTCATAAACAACTCTCCACACAAATTTTACAACTACATGAAACGGGCCAGTTTCTTGAAAAGCACAAATTACCATAATTCGACCCAACATGAACGAGATCATTGATTATTTCTATACCTATTAAAGAAGTTGAATTTGTAATTAAAAATTGTTGAAAAAGAAATTTACAGGGAAGATTATTCCACTGGAGTCTCCCACCAAAGGTTTACATAGGAATTGACACCAATTTAAAACAATGTTTCCAGGAAAGAGAGGGTAAAGAAACACTTTCCAAATCATTTCAGGAGGCTGGTATGACCAGACACTAGGTAATAGACAAAGACAATGCGGAAAATCAAACAAAGGCCAACAACCTTCAGGAACATAGAGACAAAGTATTAGAAAATAGAATTCATCAATACCGGGGCACAGTGATGGGGGAGGGAGAGTATTTAAGGGATGTAAGAGCAGCTCTGCGTTTGAAAATCAATGAGTGTAACCCATCACGCTGTTAGAGAAGCGACACCATTTCAGTTCAGCTCCATCTGGAGACTAACAAGGCAGCTCCTCACCCGTCACGGTCCATGGTCCTAAGATGCTTGCAGTTGAGGAAACCACCTAAAAATACCTCCAAGGACACACTCCTCCAACAGTGAAGGGTCCAGACCTCCCGGTACCCATAACAACATGCGCTTTCCAGATAATAACAGTTAGCTTTGATGTACTCACACGCTAAAATGTCAAGGGTAGTTTCTTTAAATCAATAGAATAATAAATTTGGTTGCACAGTCTGCTCACCATCACGTAGCCACAGCTTACTCTTTACAAAGACGAGACCCCATATAAGAAAAACTCAAAAGAAAGACGGTGCGTTCCTCTGCTTGCTTTCTGAGGGTGTCCTCCTCTGCAATGAAGAGTTTCTAAGAAGCCTGCTCCTTTCACTTCTTTCACTGGCCTGGAATTCCTTCCTGCACAAGATCCAGGAGCCCTCTCTTTGGGTCTGCCCTTTTCAGGTAACAACACTAGTAGATTAAAGAATGAGGATATCTTCATACCAACTGATTCAGAAAAAGACCCAGGAGTGGTGTTAGGAACTGTGTCCTCTCAAACTTCGTATGTTGAAACCTAACCCCCAAGGTGATGGTTTTAGGAGGTGGTGCCTTTGGAGGTGAATATGATGGCAGCAGTGACTTTCTGGAACAGGAGCACCTGTGGGAGCAACAGTGGTGGTGGTGGGACCCCTGTGTCCTGTGTCCTCTGCACACCATTCCCACCCTTGCACGGCCAGGCAGGACCTGACCCCAGGCCCGGCGCCTCCACTGCCTCACCACTCTCGCCCACCCTACTATGAGGAGGAGGCCTACAGTCCCCAGAGTCCACCCCTGGGAGCCCCCAGAGCCTACTACCCTGGGGACCACTGCAATGGGGACCAGGCCGAGTCACCCTCCTACAGGCGAGCAGCACGGTCAGGCACTAAGGGGCCAGCAGAGAGGGTCCCCAAGGCAAGGCTGGGCTCAGAGTGGTGCTGCGCGTGCACACACAGCGTGCTGGGGCTGGGCCCAGGGCGTGAGCTGGGGCTGCACTTTGGGGGCCTGGAGTGGGAAGTGGGAGTGGCACCCACGTCAGGGACCCAGCCAGTGACATGGCCACAATGCTCACCCCGCCAAAGGTGCTGGATTCCTGCATCTTGGGAGGCAGCTCTGTGCGGGCCACCCAGGGCTGTTTCCCAGGGGTCCAACCCACATCAGGGGGGCTGCCAAGCCGGATGCCCCCAAAAGGCTGGGCCCAACGCCCATGATCCACTCCTGAAGACGCCCCTTCCCAGGCAGAACCACAAGTCACGCAATGGGAAGCCCCTGGCCACCCGTGAACACTGGGGCCA